CTCTGAAAAGGTAGGCCTTGCAAAAGTCTGGTAAAGAAGTTGCAATCAAATTTTTGAATTAATGTCTTGGAACTCTATTCCATAAGAAAATTCACAGGCCATGTTTTTATGTTGACTGAAATTGGAGTCGCAGATATACAAAAATAATGATGAATTTTTAGCAGTCTTTAAACCTATTCTCAAATTCCTTTATCAAAACAGAAAGCAAAGCTGCATGTTTTTTGCTGTTCACAGGACTGTATTTTCCAGTGCCTCAAAATACACACAACTATTTGGTATCATTTGAGTTAGCACTGCACGGCGCTCTTCCCTTGTCCTGATTTCAGCCCAAACAGAGCCAATCACACAATGCTGTCTGGTTGTTGCTGAGGATAAGTATGCATGCTGGGCCAGGCTGCCCTGTTGGGCAGAGCTGCTGCCATGATGGCATGGGGCAGAGTACAGCCACAGTAGAGTTGTGCCAGATCACATGCAGCCTGTGGGTTGCAGGTTGGATGCCCTTGATCAGTCCAACCAGACCTAATTATGTAAGTAGTGAAAGTGTAACTGAGTTTTACAAAGAGTTTAAGCCAATTGATAGTGCTAAAGTTCTCAAGGTCCAATCTAATAAAAGGATGAAATGGCATTCTCTACATAAACAACTGCTTTGAGAAATTGGAGAGAACATTGTTAATGCACCAACCTGTATTTGCCCTTCTTTTTGGATACTGGGAAGTGTCAGAAACATTGTCTGGGCTATAGGAATTTGTCTAATCATGGATATGTGTTCTCATCTCTTCATATACATCCTTCTCTATAAAGAATAGGAAATTCATACTGTACTACATGATTCTTCTTTCCAAAAGCTTTTTGTTCTATATATAGAATAAAAATGTCTATTCTGATATTTGTTTCATTAATGAGATTGATTCATTCTTAAAAAGTATGTATAAATTTACATTTATGTGCAGAAACATATACCTAAATATTAATAATTAAAATACTAGTCAAAGAAATCAGATTTGTTATAGTAGTTACAAAATATTTTGGATTGTAAAAATGAATAATACTGTCTATCCCAAGTTGTCTACTGACACCATGATCAGTAATTATATTTTGATTTTTATTATATTTTGATTTTCTATTTTCTATGTATATATTTCTATTTTTGATTTTCTACATTTTATTTTGAAAAAAAAAAAAAACAATTTTATTCAGTCTTTATTTTAAATATCTGATGAAAAGAATCAGACAAAATGCTTGTTAAGTCTTGTAGGTTTAAGTTGCATGTGCCTTTTTTAATGTGTATGAATACTTTGAGTTAAAAATAAATATATGTGTAGATCTTCCAGTTCTTTTCCTGGAAAACACGGGATATTGCTTTGTGCACTAAATCCAAGTCTGGCATTTTTTGTCTTGATATTCAGTTTTAAATATAAAGATGTTCTCACAATAAATAAATAAATAAATAAATCAGGAGAAAGCTAATGTAACCGTTTGACCCAAAGGCAATTTAGTGAGAACTTTGGAAATGTGTACCAGCTATAAATTATTTCAAAGGCAATTTATAAAAGTGACAAGGGAATATACACGTGTAGGTTCTCCAGCTGTTGGACTGCTCAAAGACAAAATCTTTCCTTATGTTCCTTAATGCAAAACTCTGAAATAAAATATTCTATAAATAGTTTTTACAGCTCCACTAATGCCATATTTTAATGTAGTTACAGGAAAATATCATTTGTGCATTTCTGACAGCTAAGAAATTGGAATTTTTCAAATGAAGAAAAAAAAAAAACTGATGCATTTTGTAGGTATCTGTTTTTCTGCGTTTCTCATGTAGCCCCATGTATGTCTCTTTTCCATAATTCTTGAATCTGGTTTCATTTTGATTCATATAACATATAAGAATGTGGTTTTTCATAGCTTTTTTTTCCCCCTAATCACGATTTTTCAAAGCTTGTTCAGTGTCCTGGACTCTAGCATACAGAAATTAACTGTATGTTCTTTAAATAAGAGAACACTTCCATTGTCTCAGCACATGCATTCCTATCTATTTTAAACTGTCAAAAAAACGGTGCTGACTTTTAGCTCATTGTGAACCAAAGCAATTGTAAAAGCCTCTACAGACTTATGTTGACTCTGTAATTGAAAGTAACTGAAATTATTTACATATCCTGGAAGAGAAAGCAGAAAGTGCAAGCTAAATACCAACCTTAAAAAATAATAATAATAAATCAGTAGTCTCTTAAAAATAGATCTTCCTCAGTCACAACCCTTAAAATGGCACTTTGAGATGCGTCTTATCAGTACCCATAGACATATGGATGTTTTTGTTACAAACCTGTTCTTTACTTACAGCAGCAGGGATGTTGTTTTCTCACTCGCCACCTTCCAATCCATATGCTGGAAGAGAAATTGCCTGTGGAAACTGAGGCAAAAAAAAAAGTTGAGCGGCCTTCCTCTTGTCTGTTGTCATCAGCCTGCCTCTGTTTCTCACTGAGGGGTTAAGCCTTCTTAGACTTTCCTTTTCTAGTTAATGTGGAGGTTAAAGCCTTTTTTTGTTTTTCTTTGCATCCCTCACCAATTCCATTTCCAGCTGGGCCTTGGTCTTCCTAGCTCTGCTCCTGCACAGCCTAGCAGAATCCTTATACCCTTCCCAGGGCACCTATTTGTGTTTTCATTGCCTGTGCATTTTTGCCTTGCTCTCCAGTTTGGCATGGCTGCTTCTTGCCTGCCTTTCCTGACCTCCTGGGAATGGATAGCTCTCGTGCCCAGAGAAAAGTTTCCTTGAAGATCTGTCAGCTCTGCTCAGGTCCCTTGTTCATGAGGACAATTTTCCAGCAGGTTTTGGTGATTAACTTCCACCAAAGAGATGGAATTCAGCTTTCTTAAAATTTAGCATTGTGATTTTATTATTTGTCTGCCATATATCCCTCAGGAGCGTAAGCTCCATCATCACATGGTCATTAAAGGCTAGACAGCCTCCAATCCTGATGTCACTGGTGTTATGTGCAACAGGTCCAGCACTGCATCCTCCTGGTGGGGTTGTCTGTATTTTCTGGCTCAAGAAACTACTCCTATGTGTGCTTAATGTATTCTCAGCTTTATTACTGAGGCAGAATAACTGGTTAGATCTACCCATTTTTATATAATTAAAAACAGCCTCTGTTTTTGGAGATAAAGTAGGAAAGAATATCATTTCTGAGATGTACCTTGGCCAATCTAACTCCTTTAAATGCCAGTGAACTGTAGCTGCCTCTACAACAGAAGAAATCATGAGAAGATTTTGCTTACGAGCCTTTCCTGCTGATCACATTCTGTTTTTAAGAACTTTTCTGAAAACCTACCTTTTAACTACAGATCTCTAAAAATAATTGATGCGCATAGAAGAAATTCAATCTATGATTCTTGATTATTTATCAAATGGTCCTTGGTATACAGAATGATCTTGCGTGAAATAAAGTCACATGAAAAAGAAGATTTGTCTAATTTTGGTGCAGATTTTACAGGAGGAGATAAACTTAGCCCTGTCCTGATTTCTGAACAAAGCTATAAGCAAATATATTAAGTGCTGCGAGGAGTGCAGTTACAAAAAAAATAAGAAATATTTAACCCTGCCCACAGCAGGGGTTTGGAATTGATGAAACCCCTGATTGGGGTTGATAAGGTCCCTTCAAACTCAAGCTTCTTCAGTAGCAGAATAGCCTTTCTCTTACTGTTAATACATTAGTGGAAAAAGGTTTCTCTTTTTGTATTCTCTTTTAGTCTTGTAGCAAGTTGAGTTCAAGTTGGGCTTCTGCCTTTCTTCTCTCTGCATATCCTAACAACTTCTTTGTACTCTCACTAAGAAGTAAGACAATAAACAGAAAAGCATCAGTAAGTTAGTGACATTTTCTAGTAACTTTTATGATTAAAATAATTGTATTACCTTCTGTTTATGAACTATGGAAACATAGATGCTTTGTTCAGAGTAAGTCTTTTGTTTCACTTCACATTTTTAGTAGAGTACTCAAAAAGCTGGCTGATATTCTTGCAGAACCTCTCAATTACTTTTCAATTATCATGGGAATCTGGAGAGGACCCAGCTGACTGGAAGCTGACAAACATCCTCTCCACTGTAAGCCATTCTATGATTTTTTCAAGAGGAGCAAGAAAGAAGACCCTAGGATGATTACAGACCTGCCAGTCTTACTTCACAGCTTTGAAAAATGATGGAGAAAATGATTCTGGGAGTTAGCGAGAAACACCTGAAAGAAAATACAGTTACTGGTCACAGCCCACACGAATTCATGAGGGCAAAGTCCTGTCCAACAAATTTCTTTTATGACAATGTTACCCACCTACCTGACCAAGGGGAGCCAGCTGATGGAATCTTTTTGAAGCAAATCTTCCAATGTTGTTTCTGACAGAACCCTTCTGTCTAGGTCTGGCTCAAAAAGCTTACAGCATAAGGTGAGGCTGATAGCTAGTCACTAGTGGCTGTAATTTATGGCCATTACACTTTAATGTTTTCATCAATTACTAGGTTATAATACTTGAATGTATAAGCAAGTTTGCAAATAACACCAAATTGGAAGAACGTGTTAAACTTCTTAGGGGTAGGAATTAGTGCTTGCTTCTGCACTTGGATTACAGTAACCCTGAATATATATACAGACTGAGGGATGAGAGGCTGAAGAGTAGCTATGCAGAGGAGGATTTAAGGATTCTGATTGACAACAAGCTCAATCTGAGAGAGTAGTGTGCTCTAGGAGCCAAAAGGTTAAATTGTGCTCTCAAGTGCATCAGGTACAACGCTGCTAGCTGAGTGAGGGAAGGAACTGTCCTGCTTTGGAGTGATGTAGTGTAGGGTTACCTATGTCTTTCTTGTCAGTATTTTTTACTTATTTATTTTTATTTTTGAATTGGCCTGTAACAATTTTAGAAACAAATTTGACTCAAATATCTTGAATAATTTGGAAAATGGAAAACAAGTATGTAAATATATAGATTACACTGCAAGTGTTGTCTGTGCCTTTCAGGGTCAAGAACAGCCAATTTCAAGAAGAGCACAAGACTGAATTCAGGTAAATCTTCTGTATAAAAGTACAGGTGGATATCAGGAATAACGATTACCTAAATTTGCAATTTTGTATCTCTGTTGAATCAGAGAACTGACTGTTCAGGAAGAGCAGAAAATGATAACAGACAATTTTGTTTATCAGGTAAGAATTTTCAGTGTGTTGCTCCAACAAAAAGTTACTATCTCTCTACAGTGTATTTAATTGAGAATCTTAGTAAGTTGTAACTAGTTGCTGTTCCTGCACTTCGACTCTTTTAAGTCTGGTCAGAGGACTCTATGTTTTTATAAAATAAACTAACTTTTTATTAACTAAAACTCTATTTTTATAAACTTAAACAAACAAGCAAAACAACAGAGATTGAAATCTGTGACTCTGAAAAGTATTTAATACAATTTTATACATTATGACACAGTTTTAAGGTAAGCTGTAAAGAATGCTGTGGCTGCTTAGAAATACTTTATAGGTAAAATGTGCAAGTTATAGGGATTGCTATAGCTTCACTTATAGTACTGTCTCTTCTACCATCAACACATACTATTAATTCTCTGAGCAATTCAAACTGAGCAGAAGTTTTACTACATATGGATGTTCCACAAAAAAAAAAAAAAAAAATCTGGAAATCGAAGATACTGTACGGGAATATTTAGGTTAGATTTTAGGAAACAACTTTGAAGAGTAAGGCTTTGAGTGTTTCATCTTGCACCATAATATCTTTGGGGATTAAGACAGTGACTTGAATTAAAAATTAAGATGCAGACCTTCAGGCAAACAAAGGAAGTAGTTAATATGTGAAATTCACTTCCATCAAAGGTATTTTTAAAGTGCTCTGTGTGAGAGAATATCAGAGAAAGGATTATGATGGGAAATCCTTTTCTTTTTCTGTAGGGGTCTATGCTAAATGACCTCAAAGGCTTTAAAATGACTTTCATCTAATATTTTAGGAGTCTCAAAAAACAAGTATTCTGGAAAGTAAGCAGGTCAGTTACTCATGCTATGCTATATATTATATTTATGAGAAGATGCTGGAGCTGCCTCTTTCTAGATGCTTCACAGTTAAAGGAATTTTCCTTTCAAAACTTCACTGTAATTAATGAAGACCAAAAATAAAGCCATTGACATATGAATTTCCATGATGTTGAAAAACTACTTATCTATAACTCTTGTGAGGCAGACCACTTCCCTGTAAGTATTTTCATACTCTTAGGTATTTCCACACCTTTAATGACCATTGTAGAATAGAAAAACTACGCCACAAAGTAACAGTTTCAAGATAAAAATGAAAATATACACTGCTTCAATGAACTATTTTGTATGTGACAGATATTTCCTTTGAAGGATTTGCCTATTTGCATTATAAACTGTTTACAGTGTCATAATTTCAGAGTACAGCCTATAATTTTATTGAAATACTCCAGTTCTAAGACTTATAATGGGGAAATAGTTTGAGTAACAGCAGAACTAAAGCAAGACTTGATTTTCAATTCACAGTAAACACTGACCATTCTAGTGATTTAGTGCAAGTTTCCAGTGGCATAAAATGCATTAGTAGTTCCTAATATAATGCAGAGATGAGCCATAAAATTATTTTTTCTGGGCATTATCACTTCTGAACATTAAGTGTTTCATAGGAAGATTGAAAAATGTAGAACAGAAATGTACTGTGGATTATTGAATACTGACAGACCATTTCTAGCAGAGGAAGATCTTAAGCAGGGAATGATTTGAGGGTAAGGTGGTACTTGGTAGAAGTGTTCCTGCTTTCTTCTTAAACTTAGTTCCAGGCATTCATTTCGGTCACTGGCTGAGGAAACAATTTGTGCTAGATGCAGTAAGTATGGCTACTCTCACAAGTGAAAAACTTTTGTCAGTAAAAGCTTTTACTTTGTTGTTTGCTTATGCATGCTGGTAATTATCTGGTTGTCTGTATGTATAATTCTGTTTCAGCCATTACATTGTACCATGGTGTTTGAGAGCACTTTTGTTCAAAAGTAGGAAGCTGATTTTATAAGGTACGCACAAACGCTATCTGAAGAATGACCCATTTGTCAGACCAGGTTGTTGAAAAGCATGGAATTTTTCCTTCTATGAAAACAAAAAAATTTCTATGTGTTCAATGCTTATTTTCATTTGTAAACAGGTCTGATGTATTCTCAGACAGGTTCTGCAATGTATTTTGTCTGTGTCCATGACTGTCTTAAAATCAGTGTTGCATATTTTTTTTCTTTGTATTCTTTTCAGGAGAATATCTTGCCTTTCTGAAGAGATTAGCATCAGGAATTCTAGTCAGATCAGATAAAATGAGTCACGAGTTTACTGAAAATTACGGAAGGAAAAATAGAAAGAAACAATGATGGAAAAAAATAATCTGACAACAGTTCATGAATTGATTCTACGTAATTATTCCACTTTGTAAATAATGGTATAAGAAAAGATAACTGCTTCATCAGATTTCTGCTTCGGAAACTATTTAGCTGCCAAGTGATGAGTGTTACCCATTAGAAATACTTACATATAATTGCATTGACCTTCATATACTTATATGTCCGTTAATGATTTCCTCATGGCTTTGCCAGAGTTCCTACTTTTCTTCTGTATTTGAAATTAATAAAAGAAATGACCATCTTTTGGTAATTATTTCTGAATTTTTAAAAAATTTAAGTACTTTTTCATTCAAACTCCTGTAGTTTGAAGTCTCTTTCAAAGCAGACCTTTGTTCTGAATTTTCCTTAAAACTGCATAACCATTCTCAGAATTATGTCAACTCATATAGCTGAAATTTGAAAACAGATTTCTCTAAGTAGTTTCTTAGCTGCAAACTAAGACGCATATAAGTATTACAGTGGAAAATCTCTCAGAGTAAGCAATATTTCTGCTACTTTTACACTGAGCACAGCCACATGCTGTGAGCAAGTCAGTTTTCTTTGCACCTCTGCATTCTCTTTTGTACATTTATAATGTACATACAATTGTACCTCTATATCATAAATATATGTATTTAAATGACCGCTTGAACTGTCTATATTGACAAAAGCTTTTTCACAGAGAACAGTTTATTCAGCATGAAAATAAATTAGAATATGTTTAGTAGATTATAATGTTATGTATTTGAATATAGTACACCCATATAAAGTTCTAATACTTAAATTACAATGAATAACCAAATAATAGGTTGGGAAAAGACCTATAGTCTATCACCTAGTCTATCTTTAAGCCTAAGCAGGATATTCTATATAAATTTCATTCTTAACAGACATTTGATTTGGCTTTTCATTAAGATGCACATCTTCTGAGGTTCCCGTAATCTCCTGACAATCTACTATTCTTACCAGTAAAAATGTTTCCCCTCACATATGAATTATTCTTCATTATAATAGTTTAAATCCATTCCTTTTCATCCTGTTGAGAACATAATGTTCTTTGAAATACTTCTAGAAGACTTATCTTTTTTTTCATCTCTATTACTTTGTGTGGCTTTTGTATCAAACCAAAAATATTGTAAGCTGTCCATCTTCCTATTGTTTAAATTCTTCAGGCCTCTGATCTCTGTTGTTTCTCTCTTCTGGAGTCTATTCTATTAACCACAAGTCGACTGACACAAATAGAAGTTAATACAACACTGAATACTGGATTACAATCACCTTCTTAATTCTGCTCGTATGAATTGATATGGAATTTCTGTTACAGAACAGAATGCCATTTAAGCCTGCTAACTGGAATTCCTTTTATGAATGGAATAACTTCATACCACAATTTATATGTGTACATCTCACTTATGAGGAAATGCATAGAAAAATAAAGTCACAAGAGAAAGTACATATAATTTTAAATGAAATTATTTTAGAATAAAGTAGGATCCTGTCCCAGTTCTACTGTGAATATTCTCACTATGTTACATTATAATCCTTGCATTGTGTTCTTAATACTTAGTTAAAAATGCAGAACTCAGAATGATCGTCTCTGCAGTTGTGACTATTTGTGGACCACAGAGGCAGTAAAATGTTGTACTGAGATCAGTTTATGTGTAAGGAGTAACTGAGCTGAAGTTAAACACAACAAAAGACAGATTACAATAGGAAAGTGAATCATAGAAGTGTAGGGGTTAGAAGGAACCTCTGAAGATCACCTAGTCCAAACCCCAACTAAAGCAGCTTCCCTACAGCAAGTCACACAGGAAAGTGTCCAAGTAGGTTTTGAATATCTCTGGAGATGGGAACTTCACAACCAGGCCTTGCTGGACGTGAGCGCAGTCTCCTCTCTTCTCCATATTTTATACATAAAAAGACTTCTTTATCAGCAGTGGAAAATACAAAGCAACTATGGGGGTCAATTAAATTATTTAACACCGTTATATTAAGGAAACTTGAACTGAAAACCCTTTCTCATCACAGACAAAAATCACATTAATCACAGCCTTTGCTGGCATTAGAAAACATACCTAGAAGTTTTTATCTGAAATTAATCTTATTTTAAAATTTTGGTGAATTCAAGAGAAGTAGGGCTTCAACCAATCCACAGCATGCTCTAGTGGCAAGATAGATCACAGTTTTACAAATAATTTTGAGCTGTCATATCTTGTGTTAAGGGAAAAATTTACCACAATATCACATACTTGTCATGGCAATTTGGTGGATTTGAAGTACCTAAAAAATTAGATAAATCCATACTTGAACTTCAGTAAATCAAAAAACAGTTATTTGTGTACTAGTATGCTCTTTGTAGATCTCACAGTGACAGCATGATTGGAAATGTGTCATCTTTGCTGCTTTGAAGTTTTAATGTCATCCTCTTTCATTTATGTCATTAAAATATAAATGCTATTGAATGCTAAATCTCTTTGTGATAGCTCATTTTAAAAAGTATTTTGCAAGTAGACAACTGTTTATGAATATTTTTGACAAATGCATTTACATTTAATTTTGTAATGTGATTAACAAAGATATATAATTATACTAAATAGACTTAAAAATTTTGTCTTTAGGAGAAGGCCTAAAAGGATCAAGGCCTAAAAGAAAAAGGATCAAATGTGGTCTCAAAGAAAAGTAATTCAAAATCTACGATTGGACTTAATTCCTTTACTCCTTTAGAAAAGGAATGGATGAGAATTTTGATATATTTTTGTACTACACTTGGAAGTGGTTTAACATTCTGACCTGTTACGAAGTTTCTGTTTTCAGTTTGTGAGAAGGATTCAGGAAATGGTGGAATTCAGGATTTGAATAGATGCAGTCTGGCATCTTTAGTTTACCTAAACTGAATACCTTATTTTCCCACACTTATTATGTATATATTCCTTACTGTACTTTTTCTAACAATATTCTACATTTTCCCACGTGCAGAAAAAAAAGAGCTTATGACTAATCTCACTGTGGTGAAAAGAGTGACCTGGCAAATCTCATTTGAGCAAACATCTAGCTGAATAAAATCTTACCTTTTAATAATTTGGATGTGCTTTCTTTCTGCTGCTACATACTCCAAAGTTTTGATCAGGCAGCAATTCAAATATAGAAACTTAATATCTGACTACTGTACACTTCGTTTAGATATTCCAGTTTCTTCCATTTCTCTGTGATCCAGTCATCTAGATTACAGCCTATATGTGTTCATGGTTGATGCAAAAGGTCCCATTTGAAATTTTTTGCAAGCAGCATTGGAAAAAAAAAAAATAGGAAAAAGAATTCCAATCTTCAATTTATTGTTTAGCTAATCAGAATGACCTTAAAGCTCTTTGGCTGAACAAGACAAAATACTACTGCTACTTCCAACATCTCTGATTATTTTAATGTTGAAATTATCACTTCAGTTTCTACTCTTCATCTGATCCCCAAGGAGAAAAAAATGATCCTCTCCCACACTTGAGCTCTAGTTTTTTTACTTATGCACTGTTGTCACTGCTGAATGCACAGTGTGTTTAGATACTAAAATCCTGACTGTATCTACAGCAAAAAATCCTTGACTTATATTTCTAAAGCTGTTTTTCAAGGCATAGGAAAGAAAAACCTCTTTTGCAGTTTTGGGCAAGCAGCATTTCTTTGAAGTTTCTGCTGTAGTGTGTGCCATTGCAAAGATTTTTTTTCTGCAAGATTAACGATAAATTTAACCAGAGATTAGACAGCTGCTTTCTTTGAAGTTTGTATGAGTCAGTGATTTATTTGTGAATGTCTAACAGGTAAGAAACTGATAGGTCAATTTTTGTCTTATGTTGCCTGCACAACTTCTGAAGTGACCAACTATTTATTGAATAAACGCTTGTCAGAAGATACTAAGCTGAAATGAATCAGAAAAATCTGCTTACAGAGTAACTGTATACTGCTATCACTTTCCCACAAACTTGCTTGAAGTCCAGGGATGTAGTGGTACATTCATGAAAAAGATACATCACATAGTCCACACACATAGTGGTATCATTCTTCTATACCCTTGTGTACTGTTAGTATTCAATTTGAAATCATGATTATACATTAAGTAAAACATACAGCTACAAAAACAAGTGATACAAGACAGATTTTCTTTGCAGAAGATTTCTGGCTGCTGCAAAGCACATCAGATCTAGGAAGAATTTTGGATCTGGTTATGGAGGAGCTTCATGCTTGCAAAGGAGGTGTGAACTTAATTTGGTTCAACAAACCTTGAATTGCTTGGTAATAGATTTAGTGCAAGGTATAAAAATACAATTGAAATACAATTGTCTTTATGTAAATTTGCCTTTATGTCAGCAATATAATTATAGTACTTCTGAATTTTAAAATAATATGTTTAACTGACTTTATTCTATTGCTTTTGGCCCGTGTTATGCTTCGGTCTCCAGGGTTGAGTTACAAAGAACTTTTGAATTTTAAATACAAGACATACACTGTGTCAATTAATTTGACAAAAAAAGAACTACCGGCAGCTATATGCCATCTTTATTCTCAGAGGATTCTAGGGCAGATATGAACTCTAACAGCTACTTAATCAACTTAGAAAGAAACTACGAAGGCCAAATGCATTCCACTCCGAACCTGAGAAGATTCTCAGAAATAGATAAATGTTAATTAAACTCCTGCTAGATTCAAAAAGGTCTGTAAAGGGAAGTGGGAGGCTCTTAGATTACAGCTCCTTGTAATTGTTCAGATGTAAATCAAAAAATAAGTATACTTTAGAGATGATGCTAGTGGATCTGAAGATTCACAGATAAAAATCGACTATCTTACATGTGAATCTAATTGCTTCAAACTCACTGGAACATTATGGTTATATATCACTTTGTTCTTCACAAAAATTTCCTTTCTAGAAATGTTCGAGACCTTAGACATACAACTGATTGGAAAATACAGCATCTCCAGCCATTACTTCAACCTGGACTGATGGGTCTGGGCTAATTCAAATACAGGTATGCTGCTTATGATTTATCACTGCTCCACTGTAAATTCTAATATTTAGAGGCAATTCAAATATAGATCAGCATGGACTGAGGTATCTCACTGGATAACAGATGGTAGAAAAACTTACTGAATGCATTCACCTACTTCTTGATTTCCTTTGAAGCTTTCTACACATTAGTGCCACTAATACTCATAAAAAAATAATGAGCTGATTAATGATCTTTGGAAATTTTAGAGGACGTGCACTGTAGTTGTGAGTTTTTAAAAACTAGGAGGACAATCATGTGAGTGTTCAAAAATTTATACAATCCTTCTGTGCTGGAAAAGATAAATTCTTATTCCAAGCCAGGTGTCAGATTCTTAACTGATATAATTAGTGTAGGTCATCCCATTGTTATTATTCCTTTACTGCTGCAAGTAACTATGTGCTTAATCGTTAAAAATAATGCTACAGTCTGTATTTTGATGTGTTAACAGTATTCTTTCAGGGATATCAGTGTATTCCTTAAAGTGCTGTTTTAAGAAGAACACTTTTCTGCATTTCATGGTTTACCTTGCATCCTTCTTGGATTACCTTGTTTTTAAGAAAAAAATAATGCTAGATTTTGAGGGGAAAAAAAATCCACCCTTTCAACAGCATATATTTCTTTCTTAGGGCCAATCAACTGAAGACAAGAAAACACAGTAACAAAACATGGAACATTTTTACTGAAGTATACCTCCTATACATGCACTTACATAAGGCATGTAAATTAAACATCTCAATCAGCACCAAAAGTCATGAATAATTATCTGATATTTAAAGGTCATTTAAAGATAGCAGACAGCCTTTTCACATGATTTCTGATGAGATTTTGAGGTGGTAAACCACCTTGAGAACTGGAAAAATATTTCAAAATCACAAGTAGGCAAGTTATCTTCAGAAGAGGCCTTGATTGGTATTTAATAACGAAATATGAAGCCATATGAATTACAATGAAAAGAAATACAATAATGAACTTCTGTTCCTAAACACATCATCAGTATGCAATGAATGAATCAAGGGTCTTGAGGAAAAAAAAACAACCATCATTTTGATTAGGTCATTGAAAATCAAGTTCAGGTAAGGGAAACTGAATAATAAAATATATATTTTTTCCTCTTTGACCTTTCAGCTACATTACTGTAATGCCTGGGATACATGGCTGCGATTTAGATTTCTATTTTCAGTAGAGTACCTTTGTATTGTTGCTAGCATACAGAACTGCCTGCAACATTTCACTTCAACAAAGCATTATGGGACCATCAATATTCACTTTCTCAGTGCGTGCTGAATTGACAAATACAAAGTATGAAGAATATGTTTTTGATTATTACAAGATTTTTAACATTATTTTGCTCTTGCTTTTGCATATTTGCCACCATTTTCCATTTGCTTTCTTCCCTCAGTCATTTGAATGTGCTTCAATACAAGGGTATTCCAAAGATAACACAAATCAATAGTTCATTGACTGAAAAAAACTGAACACCTAAATCAACGGACAGCAGGAACAACAAAAAACTACCAACTTACCTACCTACCAACAAGAACAAAAAGTACCCAGGTGTTCATTCAGGATTTCAATCCTCAGATAAAATATGTTCACTTTATCGTGGATCTAAAAAAACAATGAATGATCACAATGAGGAATATGACATATTTGAATTAGTAAGCCACATAATCAATATATTTGTAAGGACAGCAGAATGAGTGAATAAAAACATATCTATGAGAGTTTCAGATTCTACATATATATAAGAATATAAGAAAAATCTAATTTCCCTACAGAAAACTGCATATAAAAGTTTATAGTGGGCACTATTTAAGCTGGAAAAAAAAAAATAATAATAATTTTTATATCTCAAATGTTTTATTTTTATTATGTTACTTTTTCTACATTTGATCTGCAAATCTTTGTTGTTCTGTATATATTGTTGTTGTTGTTTTGTATATATTTTTAATAGTATTTTAATATTGTGATCATGGCAAAGTTAACTTCTGCCAGAAACATATTTCAAAGTTCTCAAAGTCTTTCTATAAATTACCTATTTCAGTTTCACTGTACATCATATTTTCATTGGCTTGGAAACAACATGCGAACTGTAAAGAATATTCTAATATTGTACATGGAGTTAAAATCTGTATTGTTGCGTTCAAGTTGTATATTACAGGAATCATTTGACTGAAAGAAAAAAATACTTGAAATTACAGTTTTGTTGTTTTTTTTTCATAACGTAATCCTTTTTTACATATTTATTTATTCACTGTCTGTGCCAATGCACATATATTATCAGCCACAGGAATGACTTTTATAACACATATTCACACGTGTTTTCAAATTTGTCATTCTTATAAGAAAGTCAATGGCAACAAAGGAATTAGCTAATAATTAACAATGTTTTGAAAATCTGTTCTTTGTTTACATGTTTTCTGAAAATCTGTGTCTGTTTACAGTCAGGCTAACATATTTAGAAAATCTGCATGCCTACAGTTACATAACAAGCAAACTTATAGCTCCTGTTCCTCAGGCTACAGATGTCCCTCTGAAGTTTAAAGCATATGTTGACGTTAATCATTGTGTATTAATGCTAAGCCTTCCTCCTGTCATTCAAAGCTTTGTCTCTCCACAGAGATCTAAAGAATATTATCTTATTTGTTACTGAAATGATTATAATTAACTGTAAACCTTTCTGGACAGTTTGAAATGAATGAGCAAAAGAGAAAGTATAACTATTATGAGCACTGCCTAATTTTTTAATAGTAGGGTGAGATAATAGCACTAATAAAATTCTAAGGATTTTTTTTCTTATGTGTTTTCTTTCTTGCATTACAATTTGTCTAATCATTCCTCATCTAATAAAAAATTTGTTAATTAGTGAATATGAGAAGAAAAAGACTTCTAAAAAAAGACTTTTTTACTGATTCTTTCTTTAATATATAACTCTATCTAGATAGTTTTATTTCTTCTACATTGATACATTTTTATAATTTCAGCGTCTTTTTCTGCCTTTGCCTTTCACTTGACAACACAGCTCCTCCAAAATTGCACACCTCCTGCAGGTGAAGCAATGTATCTGGAGCTCTAAAAGAAAACTGTGCAAATATATATACATACATTACATTACATTACAGTACTTTACATTATATATATAATGTAAATATATATTATTTAAATGTTAGAAGTTGTTTCATCTTGCATTTTTATATGTATAAAATATATAAATTATATTAAAGCCTTAATTTGAACAACATATATATCCACTGCAATTATTTAGATACAAAACTGAAGAAAACCCTTTTAAACCTATCCTATGTGTCTTGTTTTTCTTCTTGCGCTTAAGCAGAAAGAAACATAATATATTTTCTTATTAACTCAATACAGTTTTACAGGGATTATCTGTAGTTTTACAGTCTCACAAATAGGTGGCACTAATGAATTCTGCATTTGCAGTAGCACAATAATGTCTCTCTTCCCAACTAAGAAAAATTCTTAAAACCTGATAAGACAGCAAGGAGTAGAATATGTTGCCCAGTCTGCTGCACTGTACGTACTCGGAAACTTTCAAGACCCTACTAGACTAAACCTTAAGCAACCTGGTCTGATGTATAGTTGGCCTTCATTTTCACCAGAGGTTGAGCCAGAGGTTACCTGAAGTCATTTCCAATATGAAGTATCTTATGATCCTCACATTGCATACCACAGCATTAACAAGAATAGCTAGATGCAAAAGTAACATGGATGAAGTTTCAGTGATAATGAATTGGTTTACTAATAGTGCAACCTTTATAGAAATAACTATGCCTGAATTGATTACCATTTATAAATGCATTCATACATGCACTGGAGGGCAACTATTTAATCTTTCCAGAACAGTTGATTTCTGACACATTTCTTATGTAAAAGAGCAGTATGCTCACAGAATCACAGAATGGCCAGGGTTGGAAGGGACCTCAAGGATCATGAATCTCCAACCCCCCTGCCACAGGCAGGGCCACCAACCTCCACATTTATTATTAGACCAGGCTGCCCAGGGCCCCATCCAATCTGGCCATGAACACTTCCAGGGATGGGGCAGCCACAGCCTCTCTGGGCAGCCTTCCAGCATTTCACCACTCTCTCTGTATACTACCAAGGAACAACAACAGAACCAACACCAGCACAATATTATAAAGAAAAAATTTACTAAAATACCATCATCAACCATCAGCTACTGGTCTCTAAATAGCAATAATTTCTGAATGTTCTTGTTCCAATGAACTAGACACTGATGGGATATAAACATATTAGATCACTGAAACCACATCTTACAACATATGTCATATAGTGAGCAAATATTGACTTGAGTCCACAGTAAGAACTTAAGCTGGCAGGAAATTCCATTGCCTTAAATAAATTGCCTTAGTTTTTAGAATCAATTTCTTTTGGCTTATTTTTTGTTCTTCTGTGTTTTGTTTTCTTCACAAACCCCTGAACTGTGAATTCTTTACTGAATCACTATTTCACAATAATTGAACCACCACATTGCAACTAAAGTAACACTATACAAACAGGACCCAAACTGTCCTTAATCTAAAAGAACAAGTAAAAGGAATAGCTGTCTACTAGCAGAAGAACTTCAGACATACAACACATACCTGTATGAGTCAGGCATAGTCAGATTTCCTGGCAGTGTTCTCCAAAGTAGAATTAATTCAGCCATGGCTTTGTATTCAGCATTTCTGCAGATTGTGAGTGGCTGTTTCTAAGTGTAAGAATATTTAGGTTTTTAATGCAAGCCAATTATTTTTTCCAGACAGTTTTATGTATTCCTGTCATTAACATAGATCTCTTGCAAACAGCTACTGGCAGGGGGTCTTTAGAGGCTAACTACTTAAAGGTATATGATAGCAACTGCATTCATAATTGAGCTCCTTTGACCTTCAGGTAGTCCGAATGTAAGCTAACTCAAATTCAGGAGGCCTATACCAGGTTGAGTATTATCAGCTCAGATCAGCATGGTCTTTGAGAAACAGGATATAAGAACAAGCAACCAGTAAGTCCTGAGTTTAAGCTGGTTTGTGGTTAGCCAGCCCAGGGTACAGCATGTATGCTATCATCTGCCTGTTTTAGAGCATGTAAGTAGCATAAAAATTGGTATATGCATAAAAATGGGATTTATCCAACCCATGATAGAAAGTTACCAAGTGAATTGTAGTCCTGGACACAAGAACCATCCCAATTTAAGGCATCTATAGGCTCTGTTTTGACCTGTGGTTTGCTTCTTCTTCAACTAGAATTATTATATTTTGGACTTGGCAGCGACCTCCATTTCCCATTCATGGCAGGCTCCTGTCCTTATCCAGACATAATTTCTGTCTTATTCCTTGTATCAGTTCTAGAAATCATGATTTTTTTTTACCTTTTTTTTTTTTTTTTCAGGTGGGGGGAAGGAGGAAGGGTAGAAGGGAAGGAAGCAGGGAGATGTTCAATGAGATGAACAAGCTAGAATACCTTGACAGTTACAACAAGCACAAAAGAAGTGTCATAATGTCTCCTGACTGGTAAGTGTTAGACAGTTGTAAAATTGCTTGCTAGACTCCCTAGGGAACATTGGTCTTCCAGTTTTCCTGAAAACAGTAAGATTGATAAAGGAAAGGTATGGCCATCAAAAGTCACAGCCACCATATTCTGAAATAGCATGGAACAACCAGTTTTCTGGCAGGGAATGCTCCTTGCCCTCTTCCATTTACACTTACAGCTGTAAATTCAATGAGCTCATAATGAGTAATGGTGCAATTTTGTGCTGGGAAGAGAAACTAACTGAAATATTTGGTAACAAATAAGTGAAAACTCTAAACAGAAAGCCATGTGAAATGGCTGAAGAGTTGCAAATGAAGCTTGTCAAATTATTTCTTTATTAGATTAGAAAGTTTCTGAAGCATGACCTGAGAAATAAATAACAATAATGAAAGCTTGAATGGGATATCATTTTAAAAAATGAAAACAAGCAAACATATTTTAAAGAGAGAGAATTTCCATGTAAATAGAGTTTTGGAGTGCTGGAGCAGCAGAACCAGAAGTAGTGTAAGGTCACTTACAAAAGTGAGGAATTAAACAGGACTTGTGGGATCTTCTGCCCAGCTTCAAAATAAAAAAGGTGTTTCAGAGATTGGAATATACTCTGTAGTGTATTTCTACATTGAGAGTCTTTTGTATCTCATGAACTGCGAATTTCTTCTTCTCTGGGGTGAATTCTATAGGAAGATTCTGCTGCCTTATGTCAAGAAAGTTCTCAGTTCCAAGCAGGTGAAAATTTATTATTAATTCAGGTATTAAATAAGAAAATAAACAAAACAATAAATAATTGCAAATCAAAGCCTTAGGAGGGATGAACAAAGCTGCTTATTACCTGGCATGTTACTTCTTTCACATAATTACCTGTTTTCACATATTACCTGTTTCACATAATATTTTACCACCATTCAGCCACATTCTGAAAAAAAAAAGAGTCTGTGGTCATTCATCCTCCCTTTAAAATAAATGTTTCTGATCAGCAGCAGTCTTTTCTGAAACGGGCAGAAGGGTATAAACCTATTAAAGCTCTTTTATGGTGTTCTTTTATTGTAGTTCTCTACTTATAACTCTTCATCACACACTTTCAGAATCAATTTCTATTCCTCTTTATTAAATTCTGTAGTTTTCACTTCTGCTATCCTTAAAGAGTGATCATTATTTTTTGTATTTTGTTATTGCAAAATAAATATTGCAGATATGAACTGTGAACAAATCAAAACTTGAAATTTATATTTTCTGAAGGAGCCTGAGCCATGTCCAGAATGTTTTGTTAATGATGTTTAAAATTACTGCAGAAGACAGAATGTGAATCATATTTCTTAGAAATATGAAAACTGGAAGTCTATCCTTAAAAGATTAAAATAAAATTTAAAAAGTTTTGAATAAATATTTCTAAACAGGTGCCATCATTGAAGGTAGATAAATTAATAAGAACTTCTGACTGCCCAGTGCTCTCAATTAGTAGCCATGTAAGAGCCCAAGCAATACAGTTCAATGCTGGAGAAAAACGTAAGTTTTGAATATGCAGCTGGTTATTCAAGGGGCTCTGATTTGATCAGTGCCATGCTTAGCAATGTCAGCTAAAATAAGGGCATATACCTTGAGAGTTTTATTTTTAAATTGAAATTTCAAAAACCTCTATTTCAAAAGAGTTTATTGTAAATTTTCTATGGCCTTTAATGAGGATAAAATGAGGACTAGTTATTTCAAACCAGTCAGATCATTAGCTATTTATAATAAATGTGTTTATTTGGATGTTTCTCCAATTTATCAACAGAAGTTATGTTACTATTGTTGTCTGTATTTCTTGCATCATCTTCTGTTCCATTTGAACCCCAAGGACCAACACTGTGTCTGGGTGAATATTTTACAACTGTTTCCTAGAATAAATGTATCTTTGGGTTCCCTAAAGTCATTACTGAATCCAAACTGAATTACAAGAAGGAAAAGTGTTTGGAAACATCAAAAAACAAACAAACAAACAAGCAAACAAACAAAACAAACAAACAAACCCAACTACTCAGGTTAGATTCATGAACAAATGAGACATTAAAATCTGATTTGTAAAAGGTAAGATAAGTGTTGCTTGCATCTGAACATTTCTAAAGTAATTCTTAACCAATGGTCTAAAGGTTATGATTGCAGCAACAAATCATGATAGAAATCATGAGTATCTAAATTTGAAAGTGGTTATTGGTATCTAGAACTTTCCTGTT